CGCGCCTGGACGGCTTCATCCTCACCGAGCGCCTGGGCAGCGGCACGTACGCCACGGTGTACAAGGCCTACGCCAAGGTGGGTCCGAGGCCGGGCTCCGGGCCCCGGTGCCTCCCCGGCACTGAGCGAGTCCTGCGGGGTGACGCTGGGGGACCCCAGAGTAGAGACAGCGTGAGAGCCTCGCCCCAACCTGACCCTTGGTGGAGGTTGGCGCCGACCGCCACTCTCTGGTCTTGAAAACACACACACCTACGCACACCTGTTTCGTCTGGAGGGTCGGGGTGGGGACCTCGATGGGGTCTTGGTGTCCGTGTCTGGAGACCAGGCTCAAAACTGAGGCCACCTGGTGGGCTGGGAGGAATCCGGGACTGGACCCGGTTAGGAGGCAGAGTTCTGGAACACTGGGTGACCTGCCTCTGCAGGGCGCTCTAGAATGCGATGGAGGGGGTTAGGGGGCGGGAGACTCAGAGAAGCCGGATGGGGAAGCCAGGATTCCAGAATCCTGATGCCTCCTCGGCCTGAGACGGGAAAGCTGGGATGCCTGGGTGTTGGTGGGTGTAGAGAGGGCGGGCCCAGGGAGGGGGTAGAGGGAACCAGAGCCCTTCCACTCAGGCCCCCTCGAGGCAGAGCCCCCAAATCTCCTGCTCATCCCCCCCAGAAGGACACTCGCGAGGTGGTAGCCATAAAGTGTGTGGCCAAGAAGAGTCTGAACAAGGCATCTGTGGAGAACCTCCTGACGGAGATTGAGATCCTCAAGGGCATTCGCCACCCCCATATCGTGCAGCTGAAAGACTTCCAGGTGGGGGCTGGGTGGGGCTCCTCAGAAGGGAGCTAGAGAAGGGGCACTCTCTTCAGGCTGACAGACACTCTGCCTCCAACCACAGTGGGACAGTGACCATATCTACCTCATCATGGAGTTCTGCGCCGGGGGAGATCTGTCTCGCTTCATCCACACCCGCAGGATTCTGCCTGAGAAGGTGGCTCGAGTCTTCATGCAGCAGTTGGGTAAAAGCCTCCAACCCCAGCCGGCACCCCTTCCCACGTTCCCTGCACCCCATCCTACCCCTGGGCGGTTGCCTCCTGCCCAGCTTGGAATTTTAGGGCCCTGTCTTTCTCATATACCTGACCTCAACTTAAGGATGGAGTGAGAGAGGAGGGAGGAGCCCCCATCTGTGGGGAGTTCAGGTATCCACATGGGGAGCATAATATAAAGACCTTGTAGAACAAACATTCCAGGGCCTGGTGGGTAAGACCCAAGTGCTGGGCCAAGAGAAAGAGAAAGATCCTGCCGGGCTCGGTGTCTTAGCCTGTAATCCCGTGCCTTTGGGAGGCTGAGGTGAGTGGATTGCCTGAGCCCGTGGGTTCGAGACCTGCCTGGGCAGCGAGACCGCATCTCTACAATAAATTTTAAAAAATCAGCCGGGCGTGGTAGCGCATGCCTGTAATTCCGGCTACTTGGAAGGCTGAGGCGGAAGGATCGCTGGAGCCCAGCAGGTTGAGGCTGCGGTGGCTGGGAGCGGCCACTGCACTCCAGTCTGGGTGACAGAGTGAGACTCCAACCCAAAAAAAAGAGAAAGATCCTTACCGGAGACTACTGGGAGGAGAAGAGGCTTGTGAAGGGGCAGAGGGCAGGAGAGTGGGCACTCTGGGTGGAGTGGTGAGCTCTTAGAAGTAGCATGAGGCCGGGCACAGTGCCTTATGCCTGTAATCCCAACACTTTGGGAGGCAGAGGCGAGGAGATTACCTGAGCTCAGGGGTTCGAAACCAGCCTGAACAACATGACAAGACCTCATCTACAATAAATCAAAAAGTCAGCCAGACTGGTGGCACATACCTGTGGTTCCACCTATTTGGAAGGCTGAAGTGGAAGGATCACCTGAGCCCAGCAGGTCAAGGCTGCGGTGACCATGAGCATGCCACTGCACTCCAGCTTGGATGACAGAGTGAAACTAAAAAAAAAAAAAGAAGTGGCATGAGTTGGCCAGGCAAGGTGGCTCATGCCTGTAATCCCAGCAATTTGAGAGGCTGAGGTGGGAAGATCACATGAGGCCGGGAGTTTGACATCAGCCTGGGCAATATAGCAAGATCCCATATCTACCAAAACAAACCAAAAAAAAAAAGGTGGCATGAGCCTAGTGCTTGTATGTAGACCAACCAGGCCAGAAGTGGGGTTGGGCAGTATTGAGGCAGATGTAAGCCTGGGAAGTGGGAGGCAGGTGGGAACAGCCTCCTCTGACCTTGTGGGTCCCACTCCCCAGCTAGCGCTCTCCAGTTCCTGCATGAACGGAATATCTCTCACCTGGATCTGAAGCCACAGAACATTCTGCTGAGCTCCTTGGAGAAGCCACACTTGAAACTGGCAGGTCTGAGTGTGGGACGGCAGGGATGAGGTTTGGAGGGAGCATGTGCAGAAGTGCCCCTGCCTGGCTCAGTTGGCAGCCCTGGTTCTCATGGCAGGCTCTGTTGAGTTATCAGACAGTAACGAGCTGGGAGGGCTAGGGGCGGGCCCATCACCCAAAGGTAGGGCCTTTCCCAGGCTCCCCATGCGGAGTCTGGCAGCACCATGGGTGGAGTTAGGACTCACTGTGTGTGACCAGGGTTGGTGCTCACTGTATGTCCAGCTTTGGGGCTCTGTGGAAACAGTGCCAGGTTCAGTATGTGACTAGCATCAGGGATAAGACTTGGTCTGTTGCCGGGCACAGTGGCTCACGCCTATAATTCCAGCACTTTGGGAGGCCAAGGTGAGAGGATTGCTTGAGCCCACAGGTTCGAGACCAGCCTGGGCAACTTGGCGAGACCTCATCTCTATAATAAAAATCAAAAAATTAGCTGTGCGTGGTGGCGCGTGCCTGTAGTTCGTTGGAAGGCTGAGGTGGAAGATGTGTCTGCCTGAGTCCAGCAGGTGGAGGCTGCAGTGGCCGTGAGCATGCCACTGCCCTCCAACCTGGGCAACAGAGTGAGACACCAACTAAAAAAAAAGACTTGGTCTGTCGTCAGAATTGGGGCTCAATTCTGTAACCCCATCTGTGGCCAAACATGAGGGTTTGTTGAGAAGGGTGCTTGGGACCCCTGCTGAAGTTTAGACAAGAATTGACTTGAGGCCAGAGGATGTAGTGTAACCTAAGCCTAGAGGGACAATGAGAGAGTAGAGGTCCCTGTCCCTGTAGCTGGTGTCATCAGATGGGCTCCCTGGCAGAAGGTGCCTGAGGGAGCCGTGCAGGGTAGGCAGGCTTGACACCCCAGAGGAAGAGGTGGGCGGGTATGCCAGCCTGAAGAGGTGCGTGGGTGCAGAGCTGGGCTGGTCTTGGTGAGTCGAGGGGGCGGAGCAGAAGCAGCTGGAATTTGAGCCTGCTGCTTGGCCTCCTGCCTGCAGACTTTGGCTTCGCCCAGCACATGTCCCCCTGGGACGAGAAGCATGTGCTCCGTGGCTCGCCCCTCTACATGGCCCCTGAGATGGTGTGCCAGCGGCACTATGATGCCCGCGTGGACCTCTGGTCTGTGGGGGTCATCCTGTATGGTGAGACCTTGTTTCCCTGCCCTTCACCCCAGGGCCTGTTTTGTGTCCTCAGGCCAGGCCTCTCTGACTTTCCCGGCCCCGGGCCCCTGCTCTGAAGGGCATCAGGACCCCTCCCCAGGCGTGGGCCAGGCTGGCCTTGACCCATGCCTTCCCAGCCTCCCCTCTGTCTCCCTTCCACAGAAGCCCTCTTCGGGCAGCCCCCCTTTGCCTCCAGGTCGTTCTCGGAGCTGGAAGAGAAGATCCGTAGCAACCGGATTATTGAGGTGGGTCTAGCAGGGCCTTGGCAGCCATGGCAGCCGTTGGGGCAGAGGGAGTCAGGTCCTGAGGTTTTAGACCTCACTCCCCCCTGTGCAGACTTGATCTTGGCCCCAGGCTGCTTTGCGGTGGGGGCATGCTCTAGAGGTGGGCACTGATACTTTCCAGCGACTCAGATCAGCCCACAGCAGGCAGCAAGGGCCTGTCCATGAATTGTTTTGCAGGCTCCAGTCAGGAGAAGGACAGAGCCAGGCCAGGCTCAGCCTTCTGGGAGCGTAGTCTAGGGAGAGGGTTAGCGACCCATAATCGGGGTTCCTATAGCTGCGGAGGGCTCCAGTGAGGGCTTGAGGAGCCAGGAGGGCCTCACTTGGCCCACCCTGTTCCTCCTGGGTCTCAGATTCTCTACCTGTCAGACTCCTGGGGGCCAAGGTGCCCAAGCTGTGCGGTGTGTCCCCACCCTCGCCCTCTCCACAGCTCCCCCTGCGGCCGGTGCTCTCCCAAGACTGCCGGGACCTGCTGCAGCGGCTCCTGGAGCGGGACCCCGGCCGTCGCATCTCCTTCCAGGACTTCTTTGCTCACCCCTGGGTAGACCTGGAGCACATGCCCAGCAGGGAGAGCCTGGCGCGAGCAGTGAGCAGGCCCATGGGGGTGGGGTGGGCTGAGGGTGGGCTGGACCTCATCTGCCCTCTTTGGTGGTGAACAGGTGGCTTGTCCACCGAGACAGAGGGTGGGCTCTGGGAACTGAGTGGAGCTAGTGTGGCAGGGCAGGGAGGGGAGTCTGACTCTCCGTCCACCCGGCCCCTAGACTGCCTTGGTCGTGCAGGCCGTGAAGAAGGACCAGGAGGGCGACGCGGCAGCTGCCTTGTCTCTCTACTGTAAGGCTCTGGACTTTTTCGTGCCTGCCCTGCACTGTGAGTCCCAGAAAGGGCCTGGAGCTGGGTGCAGCAGGGGCGGGGGACGGCTAGACTGAATGGATTTCAGAAGTCCCCCATTCAGAATTGTATGGGGATAGAGCAAAGCATAGACTTGGAACTTGGTGTTTTGGGGATTTTGAGGATTTCCCAGACTCCTCATGTGAACCCCTGCCTTCTGCAGATGAAGTGGATGCCCAGCGGAAGGAGGCCATTAAGGCAAAGGTGGGTGAGTGGGCACCCCCAGGAGGAAATGGGGAGGCCAAGATCCCGGACCTCTAGGTTGTGGCTTCCTGAGAATTGGAACTTCCTCTCCCACAACACAGAGCTGGGAAGGGTTTGGGCTGTCCCTGAGGACCCAGAGGAGGAGGGTGCTGGCAGGGGAGGTATGTGGGACAGCCCCCCCTCAGGACCTTTCTCTCCTGCAGGTGGGGCAGTACGTGTCTCGGGCTGAGGAGCTCAAGGCCATTGTCTCCTCCTCCAATCAGGCCCTGCTGAGACAGGGCACGTCTGTCCGAGACCTGCTCAGAGGTAGATCTGCTGACCCACCCTGGCTGGCCTGCTCCCAGCTGACCCCTCAGGCCTGGGGGACCTCCTGCAATGAAAAAGCAGGCTGCTCCCCTCACCCTGAGCCTTTGGCCCTCATTCCAGAGATGGCCCGGGACAAGCCACGCCTCCTAGCTGCCCTGGAAGTAGCCTCGGCGGCCATGGCCAAGGTTTGTGCGGTGAGAGGAGTCCAGGTGGGGGAGGGAGGCGTCCAGCCATGAGCCTGAGTGACCTGGCGCCTATGTGGATGCAGGAGGAGACGGCTGGCGGCGAGCAGGATGCCCTGGACCTGTACCAGCACAGCCTGGGAGAGCTGCTGCTGCTGCTGGCAGGTGAGGCCCCGAGCCCCACGCCCCCCAGACCCATCTGCCCTGCCCTCACCACGTGCCCTCTCTTTACAGCGGAGCCCCCAGGCCGGAGGCGGGAGCTGCTTCACACTGAGGTGCCTGCTGGGCTTGAGAGGGTTGGGGGAGTCTTTCTTCCCCTTTCACTCTGCTGCTGTGTGGGGGAGCATCCCTAGGGGCCTGTGGAGTTCCCCCCACTCAGGGTATTCCGAGTCTGGGAGTCAAAGCATCTGGGCTGGGGTGCTCGGATCAAGGCAATAGAAAATCTGGGAACACAGCCGCAGAAAGTCTTCTGGGCTGCTGCAGTCAGGAAGACTTCCTGGAGGAAGGTGCAGATAAGGACCTCAGAGGGCAGGTTGTTCTGATGAGGCAGAGGGTCTGGAGAGCATTGGGGTGAGGAGTTCAATTTGAAGCTCCCCACCCCTAAGCCACACACACCCAAGGGCACATCTTCCCTCGGCAGGTGCAGAGCCTTATGGCCCGAGCTGAGTACCTGAAGGAGCAGGTTAAGGTGGGCACGTGGGGGCCATGGCAGGGCGAGGGTGGGTGAGTTCCTCTTCTCTGCTTGTAGCTGTCGGTTGCCACCCCCCCCGTGTATGCCTGCCTCTCCAGCCTCCATCTGAAGGCCTCTCCATCCCCCTCTGTCCTTATCACTCTAGTTGCCTGACAGCTGTCTGTTGTGGCTTCTGATCTGTCTCTTGCTGCCTGTCACCCTTTGTGCTGCCTTATGTCCCACAGATGAGGGAGTCTCGCTGGGACGCCGAGGGCTTGGACAAAGAGGGGCTGTCGGAGTCTGTTCGTAGCTGTGAGTCCTGCCCTGGGGTCTGATCCTCCTTCCAGGAGGGTGAGGGCTGGAGTGACCTTGGGTCTGCCTATCTTGCTGAAGACAAGAGACTGACCCTCCCCCCCTCACCCCTCCATAGCTTGCACCCTGCAGTGACCCCAGAAGGATGAATGGACAAGCCTCCCGGAGTGAGGGGAGCACTGACTCAGGCTGACGCCCATAATTAAGGGAGCTTCTGCAGCCCTGGGAGCAGGCTTTTTGGATAGACAGCTCTGAAACCCCCCATCCCAGAGGCCTCAGATCCCTTGGGGTAGTCTGCACCCCACAGAGGGTCTGATGACCCATGTTGTGTGCTGGGCCTGCGTCCCAGGGGAGGGGCAGGACTCTGGGAGAACACTACTTCCTGCCATCCCTGCAGCCGGCAGCCATACCTTGGCCCATCCCTCCTGGGTGCCCTTATCCCTCCTTGCACTGGAATGGGGCACCCCAAGACCCCTCAGGGACCACCCATTCCATAGTATGCACTTAGCCCCACAGAACTCGCCAGTCTTCCTAAGAGCTTAGCACTTTCAGTGAATCTTTCAAGCATGAAAGTAGTGTCCTCGCCGGGCTCGGTGGCTCAGCCTGTAATCCCGCACCTTTGGGAGGCTGAGGTGAGTGGATTGCCTGAGCCCGCAGGTT